CCTGGTTTTCATTTCACATGAGGGGCATGACAGTTGCCTTAACTTACTTTGATAATAGATAGATAGATAGATAGATAGATACCTCTAGATCTGATTTATGCTAAGGTATGTAATGAAAAGTATAATATTGGATCATAGAGCAATTATATTTTCCCCAAAATTTTACTTTGAGAAATTTTAAATCGACTGAGAATTTCCAACAGTAATACTGCAACACTTCATCAGTTGCTGACATTTTTGCCATAATTGCTTTATCGCTTTACTTCTGCCCTCCCCACCCCCCCTGCCTCTCTCTCTCTCTCTCACACACACACACACACACACACACACACACAATTAGTTGAGGATAAGTTACAAACTACAGACATAGTTTCTAAATAATCCCTATCCTTTGTATCCAGTTTGTTTGCTTTTTCCAAGTCCAGAATTCAAATAAGAATCAGGCATTGCTTCTAGTTACTGTAGCCCTTTAGTCTCCTTTAATCTAGAAAGTTCTTCATTGTTTTTCTTTCATGACATTGACATTCAAATCCAAGCCAGTTGCCTTGCAGAATGCCTCTCAATCTGGGTTAGTCTGGTTGCTTCCTTGTGATTATCAGCTTAACCATTTTTGGTAGGAATATGATGTAGGTCAGATTATTTGCTAGACCCTGCAGGCCTGGGTCACTAATGGCCCTTGTCCCTCTGGAGCTCCAAGTACCTGTAGCCCTCAAACCAAACCCTGGGTTACGGATTGCTGCCACTGGCCTCTGTAGCTGTCAGACACTGCCTGGTGCTGCAGAATGCTACCATTCTCCACTGCAGACCTCTTGCTGAGTTTTGCTGCTGGTCTTTGGAACTTTTCAGGGATGGTGGCCCCTACTGTTTATATCTCTTTTTCCCCACTGTGCTGCTGGGTGGGGATTGAACTTCTAACCACACTGCCAAGATAAGAAACCTGAGCAGATTTACAGGCCTGTTCCAGCCCACACTACCCAAGAAATAAGTCACAAGCAGATTTATAGGACCCTCAGAGTGAGGCTTTATTTGAACAGGGCCTGTGATGTAGCACAGAGGTAGAGGGAATTGGCGATGGGAAGGGGTGTCAGTGTGTAAGATGAAGCCCTCTTAGACCAACCTGCTTGCATGGGAGCAGCAGGCCTGTGATTGGTCCAAAATGGTCCAAAATCAAGCTTTCTGATTCAAGCAAAATCACGTCTTTGGTATTTTAACTTGCTTTCCTTGGCTGTTAGTGCAAATGAGCACTTTGGCATGTGCTTTGTGACCATGTAGACTTCCGCCTTCATGAACAGACTGTTTATATCTGTGTTAACCACTTACTAGTCCAATTATTTAAATACAGAATGACCCAAAATTGCATAATTTTTGTTTTTTAAAGATATATTATCTAAATTATCTATATCAACAGAAACTATAAAAATGACAATTTTATCAAATTTATTCAATACCAGAATGAACTGGTTGAAATGACACCTGCCGAGTGACGCTCAGGGTAAACTGCTAATGGTTAATTCCGACCATTTTGCCCTCCCCTGCATCCTGGTCCCTCCCTGCTGTCCTCTGTTGGAGACTTGGGGAGCAGGGAACAGGCTCCTTCTCTGGAATGAACTTCTCCCGGGAGGTAAGAAATTGGTGACCAGGACAAAAATCTTTTGCTATACGTATTGCAAATATATTCTTTAAACATGCCAGTTGTTCTTTAACTTTATTTCTAGTATCTTTGTTTGTATCAAAACTTTAATCTGCTTTTAGTATCTTGTTTGAAAAGTCCTTTACGAGCCTGGGAACATTAAGATACTTTTCTTAATTTTCTTCTTTTCTAAAGTTTTAGATGTTTATACTTAGGACTTTAACCCTTTAATACATTTCAGTTTATTTTGGTGTGTGCTATTAGGCTGAAATTTAATACATTTTGTTAACAGGCCAGCCTTTCCCCATTGATGATTTGCAGGACTAAGTATGGAACCCAGAGCCTCTTGCGTGCTAGACAAATGTGTACTTTTCTACCGAGTAATCCCCCAGTCCCTTCCCTTCCATTTTAATGCATTCTCGATCATGTAAGTTTCCACCTATGGGTAAGTCTATTTGTGGATTTTGTTTATATTGCTTTGATCCATTTTTCTATATTTGCACTGATATATTTCTGCCTGATTATTATAATTTTCCAAAGACAAGCGTGATGGTGCTCACCTGTAATCCTAGCACTTGGGAGACTGTAGAAGGAGGATCACCACTGGTCTGAGTTACATAGTGAGTTACATAGTGAGTTCAAAGCTAGCCTGAACTACATAGTGAGACCTTGTCTCTAACAAACAAACAAAAAAGTTTTTAAAAAATCTTCATACATAAGCTAAAAAAAGACTTCCATTCCTAAAGGACTTTCTTCTTCTTTAGAAATGTCTTGGTCATTCTTTTTTTTAATTCATTAAGTTTATTAGTACATTTTAGGTATACAATATGATGACATTCATCATTTGGAATTTGTACCTTTACATG